CCATAATTATTAACACTGTCTCAAATCAAAAAGTGAGCTTTTATCAACACTAAAATGCACAACTCTATAAACCAGAGTTGCCAAGTCTGCATATTATACGCGACTTTGGGCTTCTTTTTTTATAAAGTTGAGTGAAAAAATAATGGGTTACGTTTTTTTTGGGCTTATTTAAAAAAAATATGGTTGCTTGTTAGGGAAATCTGACAAGCAACTTTGTTTCTTTATTTACTTAGTTTGACTTTCTTTTAGCCTAATTTTTAATTTTTACAATGTTTTTGTAATGTATTAATTATCACGGGCTGTAATAAAAAACAAGTAGTCCTATACTAGTACTAAGAGTATATACATTTGGTTCGAATAGCCTATATTTTAGTAGGCTATAAATATGTAGCTATGTTACAGTTCCCCTTTGAAGCTCTTGTGTTTTTCTCCTTTTCCATCTCTCCAATCCTATTCTGCTCACAGGTGATTGGAGATGAGTTTTGTTCCCACTTTATTGCAGATTGCTGATTTTTGTACAATAACTTCTGTTTTTGCTTTTCAGATAAAAGAGTGGTTTCAGTTTAATATGTTGCAGGCTCATTTACTGGTAATAAATAATTGATAATAAATAATATTGAAGATAATAAATCATCAAAAAAATATTGGGCTCGTTTTGGGCTTGTTTTTGAAGCTGCGGTTGCTTATTTATCTTGCGAGAGTTGGCAACAGTGCTATAAATCACTGGAATGCAGGAAGAGATTCTTTATCATTGACTTTATGTGATCACTAGTAACATGCCAATACATTCACTGGATGAGACAATGACAAAACACAGAGACAAAGTTCACACAACTACAGTGACAACAAGTAATGAAATCTTCTGAACCCCCACTAGTCACAGTGGTCACCTACCATCAAATGTCTTACCCATTCCATGACAAAATGTCAATCCTGTGTTTATGAGAATATTTATAAAGAAGTATGTTCAATAAATCCTACTTTTACACAGCACTAACAAAAAACGAATCTGCCACCAGTACCTGGACAACAGTAGTCATGAAAATCACACTTATGTTGGACTTGAAAACTTTTTTCCAGAATCCTGTTCATCATTTAAGATATTTTTACAGTTCAAGAAAAATAACTTGAAATTAAATAAATGTTACTTGAAATAAAATAAATGTCAACTGAAATAAAATATTAAAAACTAACATTTATTTTATTTTAGGCAAAATGTAAAATTTTCATTGAAGTTAACTTGATGTAGTAAAATAACTAAAACTGAAATAAAAATGAAAATCAATCTATTTTAAAAAACTAATAAAAAAATCACAAATAATAACAAAATTGCTAACATTTGAACTAAAATTAAAAGTTTTAATAGAAAGAAAATATATATAAAAACTAATTCATGTTGGCATTTAAAAAAAAATTTGATAAAATGATAAAACACTGGTGACTGGTGTAATTTGCATAATTAATTTAAATAGTTTTGAATATTCAAATGAATAACGAACTTTGTGTTCACATTACCACAGCATTTAAAAATATAATAAAATAAATCATATTTTATTAATTTATAATTTTATATACATAAACTAATCCCAAACTTTTGATTGGTAGTATACAGGTGCATCTCAATAAATTAGAATGTCGTGGAAAAGTTCATTTATTTCAGTAATTCAACTCAAATTGTGAAACTCGTGCATTAAATAAATTCACTGCACACAGACTGAAGTAGTTTAAGTCTTTGGTTCTTTTAAATGTGATGATTTTGGCTCACATTTAACAAAAACCCACCAATTCACTATCTCAACAAATTAGAATATGGTGACATGCCAATCAGCTAATCAACTCAAAACACCTGCAAAGGTTTCCTGAGCCTTCAAAATGGTCTCTCAGTTGTGTTCACTAGGCTACACAATCATGGGGAAGACTGCTGATCTGACAGTTGTCCAGAAGACAATCATTGACACCCTTCACAAGGAGCCACAAACATTCATTGCCAAAGAAGCGGGCTGTTCACAGAGTGCTGTATCCAAGCATGTTAAAAGAAAGTTGAGTGGAAGGAAAAAGTGTGAAAGAAAAAGATGCACAACCAACCGAGAGAACAGCAGCCTTATGAGGATTGTCAAGCAAAAGCGAT